CTATTTTTTGGTTGCAGCCGTCATTGTTGTTTGGCGGGTCCGGGCTGGGGGTTCGAACCCGTCACCTTAGGTGTACATGGCTGGCGCCTTAGCTGGTTGAGCTATAGGCGCCGAGCCACCTTTGTGACATTTTAACTTTAGTATTTCTCCTTCTTTCTCACCCTCTCCTTCAATGGAATCCACACCAGCCTCCTCATAATCCTTTTCAAGGGCAGCCATGTCCTCACGGGCCTCAGAAAACTCTCCTTCCTCCATCCCCTCACCCACGTACCAGTGAACAAAGGCATGCTTGGCATACATCAGGTCAAACTTGTGGTCCAGGCGAGCCCCAGCCTCAGCAATGGCTGTGGTATTGCTCAGCATGCACACGGCTCTCTGTACCTTGGCCAGGTCTCCACCAGGTACGATACTGGGGGGCCGGTAACTGATGCCAACCTTGAAGCCAGTGGGACACCAATCTACAAACTGGATGGTACACTTGGTCTTGATGGTGGCAATGGCAGCATTGACATCTTTGGGGACCATATCACCACGGTATAGCAGGCAGCAAGCCATGTATTTACCGTGGCGAGGATCACATTTCACCATCTGGTTGGCTGGCTCAAAGCAAGCATTGGTGATCTCTGCTACAGAAAGCTGTTCGTGATAGGCTTTCTCAGCAGAGATTACAGGGGCCTATGTGGGCAGAGGGAAGTGGATGCGGGGACAGGGCGCCAGGTTGGTCTGGAATTCTGTCAGGTCAACATTCAGGGCACCATCAAATCTGCGGAAAGCAGTGATGGAGGACACAATCTGGCTAATAAGGAGGTTCAGGTTAGTATAGGTTGGGCGCTCAATATCAAGGTTTCTATGACAGATGTCATAGATGGCCTCATTGTCTACCATGAAGGCACAATCAGAGTGCTCCAGGGTCGTGTGGGTGGTGAGGATGGAGTTGTAGGGTTCAACTACAGCTGTGGAAACCTGGGGGGCTGGGTAAATGGAGAATTCCAGCTTGGACTTCTTGCTATAATCAACAGAGAGGTGTTCCATCAGCAGAGAGGTGAACCCAGAACCAGTTCCCCCACCAAAGCTGTGGAAAACCAAGAATCCCTGAAGACCTGTGCACTGGTCAGCCAGCTTGCGAATTCAGTCCAAGACGAGGTCAACGATCTCCTTGCCAATAGTGTAGTGCCCACGGGCATAGTTATTGGCAGCATCTTCCTTGCCTGTGATGAGCTACTCAGAGTGGAAGAGCTGGCGGTAGGTACCAGTACGAACTTCATCAATGACTGTGGGTTCCAGGTCTACAAACACTGCCCTGGGTACATGCTTGCTGGCCCCTGTCTCACTGAAGAAGGTGCTGAAGGAGTCATCTCCTTCCCCAATGGTCTTGTCACTTGGCATCTGGCCATCAGGTTGAATGCCATGTTCCAGGCAGTAGAGCTCCCAGCAGGCATTGTCAATCTGGACACCAGCCTGGCCAACACAGATAGAGATGCACTCACGCATGGTTGCTGCTGAGCAGATAGTGGAGAGGAAGAGGAGAGGTTGTTGCTTCTTCTACTTCATGGTAATTTTGAATGACAAACTTATCCACTGAGTTAGAGCTGTCATAGGTTACAAAAGTAAGGTCTTCTTTTTTTTT